TGTTTTTATGTGTATTAGAATGGGATATATAGTCCTAAGATTGTCCCAATAGCATCCATCTTGATTTAATGTCTGTGTCTGTGGTAGGAAAATTTTACATGCTGTTTCAGAGAAGCTTCGCTCTCTGGTTATCTCGTTGCTAAGATGAGTAGAGAGCAGAGACTTTCGTAGTCAAAATAATTCTGCCACAAAATATGATAACAACTCTCAAGCTCCCATGAGAAAGTTAGGCGGGACAACAAGACCCAGGAGGGGGTGTTCCTTATGAATAATTCTGGGAAGAAGAAGGAAGTGGGGAGGAGAAGGAAAAAGATGGAGTTTGACTGAGAAAGGACAGACACGTGCTTTTTCCCAAAATGGATTATAACTGGAATCTAACTTTTCCTGGTGGATCATGGACTATGGAATCACAGGAACGTAAGAATGACTATGCTTATGCATTATTCTAGTTTAGAATGCTTTTAATTATTTTATTTTTCCAGCTGGAGTGGTGGGGGTGATCTGACTGCCTTGTTATGAAAATGTTTCTAACTGAATTACTTTGCAATGATCTGAATTCTTTTCTGAACCATCCTTTTTAAATAAAACAGTAATGATTTAATGATTTAGAATTGCATGCATTGGTTTCTTGAACAGACTAGTCTTTCTGATTTGGCCATGTGTATTTGCTACCATATATAGAGCCCAGATTAGCCTGAGTTTAAACTCATGGATTTCTCTCTGTGTGTGTTGCTTTTCTTAATAAAGGAGGTGGATTTGAGGAAGAAGTGTTAGTCAGGGCCTAGCTGAGAGTCTTGGGCTCATCTTAGCTCCAAAAGGACTGACTAAACTTTGGAATCTCTCCATTCTCCGGCACCCCGTATCTCCTTGGAGATGGGGGATTGCTGACAAATACAGTCTCTTTATTCGCAATTTTACTTTGCTACACACCAGGGAGTGATCAGTATTGCAATCAGCACCCTGATAACTGTGTGTGATCGTAATACTAGGAAGGCTACAGCATCTACTGAGCATCAGATCAAGCTGCTGTCAATGCTTCAATCTTGGATGTCTCCAAGAGACTCTGGGTTGAAGCTTCATATTAAAGAACATTTTGCTGACAGAAATACCATAGTAACAGCAAAATCCCAGTAAGCACTGGCAATTTTCTTTCATCTTCCCAATGCCAAAACGGCCTAGAGAAATGGGCCAAGAATTGAGATCAGCACCAACTGTAGTGTTAAAGTCTCTGAGAATGAACAGTGGCTCTCTCTTGGGGATTTTTAAATAGAAGCTGCCAGATTGTCATAGAATTTGTCTTTGACTTCTGCTGTAGATGACAGTGTTGGTGCATATGCACTAACGACAGTGACCGGTCCTGCTGATGACTGGAGCTGCAGAGACAGGATTATTTCACTCCCCGCAGTAGGTGGAATAATGGATCTCAGCAGAGTATTTCTAACCGCAAAGCCAACACCATATTCCCTGGTCTCATTCAATGGTTTTTTCTTGCCAGAAGAGTGAGAATTTTTTTTCTTTGACAGATCCTGAGTCTGGCAAGCTTGTCTCTTGCAGGGCAACAATGTCCATCTGCAGCCTACTCAGTTCCATGATGTGTCTTGTGCATGTGATCTATTTCCTGCAGGCTGTCAGAAAAGCCAGGGGTCATTGTCTGAACATTCCAGGTGCCCAATTTTTGGACAGAATTTGTCTTATGATTATTGCATGATGCAGGGTTATCGATCTGCTTGTCAGCTTTTACCCTAAACCTCACACATCCCGTGAGGTTAACAGAGCATGACAAGGCAGCACCTTACTGGCTGGGAGCTACCCAGCTTAAGGTAGGCAGTAGCTACCTAGTGAGGTGTGATGACCTCTCCCACTGTTGGAGGTAGCCCCTGGCATCATGCTCTATGCCAATCGAGCAAAAACTTATAACCGGTAACTGCTACTTCCCGTGTTATTTCAACACTATATGTGAAGCTGGAGCGTCCTCTCCAGAGCACAAAGCCTGGGTAAAATAATATGGAGAATTGGAGTTTTCCTTCTCCTAGATGGGCTGCCTTCCAAGGCTAATGAGCCCCATCTACCCAGACATCCATTTCTGAGATACATATATTTGTGATAGGGCAATGTCATGCAAAGGGGAAACATATTTTAATGGGTTATTTTATGGGCATGCATGATATGTGTGACCTGGATGCAATTAAGGTGGTGATTTAGCATATACTGTTTAACCTGAAGATCCATAACTTGGATCCACGTATTTGTATCAAGCTGTTCTCCAGAAATTAGGCATCTGTGCAATCTGCAGACATATATGAAACCTATGATTTGGCAGTTTTTCAGTACGGGTAATATAAAAGAAGTTCATGGATCCATGAGGAAGAATTCCTCGTAACAATGTTTTACCATTTAACTTCTTCTCAGACAGCCTGGGACTGTGATGCTTGCCCAAGGAAAAAGAGGCTGACTGAAGTAGAATGTGGAAATGAATTCTGTGGTGTTGCTTGCGTGTATAAACTTATGACTTGATGCTGGTTTAGGGGTGATCCTAGATGAAAATCATGTGGATCCATGACTCAGATCAATTTTTTCCATGACCTGCAAAGCCATGCACCAAAGGACCCGACTTCTGTATTGCAATCTATGGACATAAATGGGGCTTATGACTGGATAGTAGTTTGTGGGTGATACTATATAAAAATCATGTGGATCTGTGCCTCAAATCCATGTTTTTGCATGACTACAAAACAATGAAGGACCCATGATTTCTGTGGTGTAATCCATGGGCACAGATCAGTCTGATGATTGTTCAATTGTTTGGGGATGATACTGCAGAAAATCAGGTTGATCCTTGAGTTGGATCCATGTTTTTGCACCCCTGCAGAGCTCTGCGGTGATGGAACCATGATTTCTGTGGTGTAGTCTGTGGGCACAGATGGGGCTCATGACTGTACAGTGGTTTCAGGAGGATTCGACATAAAAATCAGGTGGATCAGTGAGCATCCATGCATTGGTGTGGTGTTTATGTACCATTGCAAAGTCATACACCAAAGGATCTATAATTTCTGTGTTATGATCTACAGATACAAAAAGGATCTATGAAGTAACAGTGGTTTAGGGGAATTTCATTTAAAGATCATGTGAAATCACAAGGATCCATGTCTTGGATCTGTGTTTCTGCACCACTACAAGCCATGCACCAAAAGATCCACAAATTCTATGGTGTAATCTGGGGGCATATATGGGACCTATGATTTGATGGTTAATTGGTAGTGTGGGCGGCATATAAGTTAAATAAATAAATAAATAAAATAATTGGCGAGGATCCCATGTAAAAATTATATGAAATAATGAGGATCTGTTCTTGATTTCATGAATCTGCCTTTTTCCCAGACTAGAGATGTGGGTTTTCATATACAAATATGAGTATCCCCCCCCCCAAAGGTGGAAATAATGAGGGTCCAGCCCCATTCTGCCACGGACGCACGCTTGATGGAGCCTTCCTATCGCACCATTGTCTGCAATGGATTAGCCACTCCTGGCAGCAGGCAGGATGACAACCCTCTCTGTCAGGTTGCAGAGTGGCTAATCCATTGTGGACAACAGCACAATAGGAAGGCTGTCGAGGACACGTATGCAGCAGAATGGTGATTGTTATCTCCACCTGTGGGGGGGATATTTGTATATACGGATACCCCCATCTCTAACCCAGACCCATTAGAGGTCTGACCATGACCCAAGGCATCCAATTTCCTTAATATGAAATTTGTCTGGGAAACTCATGGAGAACTCACTCATTTTTGGGTAACATTTCAGAGATCTAGGAAAGGCCTGACTTCACACAGCAAATTTATTGCAACACCATCATGTTCTGAGATCTGTTCTTACTTCGCTAATACAAAATTTAAAAAGGCACATGGGATTACAGTATCTAATTTTACTAGAAGCCAAAATCTGGTGGAAAAAAAGCACACCTTAAAGTTGCTCAAGTCCAAGAATTTGCTGCCACAGAATACTAACATATTTATAAGGTTAGTGCTGCTAACTGCAGGTATGAAGCAAAAAAAAAAAATGGTGGTGTGTGTACAGAAGTGGGTTGCAAGTCAGCTTGAAGGATATACTGACCACAAGGTTATTCCCCCTATTCCACTAGTTCTGGAGAAGAATTAACACATATGGTCTTCTAAAAGAGTTTAATCATCTAATCCAGTGGTCAGCGAACAGGGGTAAATTACCCCAAATGGGGTAAAAATGAAAATCCTGGGGGTAATGAGGATGAGCAGAGCCCCAATATTGATGCTCTCATATCCAATATGAAGCAACATCATTTCTCCAAAACCTGAAGTTTTCAAGTAAGTTGAAGCTTTCAAAGTAATTTTGAATAGACTCAATAAGATTTTGAATTCAAATAATGTATGATTTCCTTCCTTTCCAATCAAGGGGGTAATGTCGGTATATATAAATTTTTTTGGGGGGGGTACACGGTTAAAAAGTTCCCTCACCCCTGATCTAATCTCATTCAAAAACGGTCCTGGTAAGAAGTCTTTGCTCACAATAGATGACAAGAAATCTGGTAAACCTGCAGATGCTACAGAATTTCTTTTGGAGCAGCTACTATGTATATAAAATCTCTGAAAAAAAGCGTTTTGCTGGAAGTAGGAGGGTGCATTTCAACTAAACTCATTCACAGAGCTAAACTGTATCACTAGTACCGACGGTAACTGGCCCCAAATCAGCCAGAGAGCGATGTACGGTAAAACGAGGTAATTAACTGCCGGGTTCCTCTAACACTCGACGACAGTAATTGTACCAAGACGGCTCTTTTGAAGACTGCTTGACAACAATAGGGTTT